CCCCCCCCCGTCTCAGCAGGGCGAGCCCTCTCGTTGCTGAGCTAGGCCGGCAGGTCTCCACTCGGCTCGCCGGGTGACCGCCCGCCGGGAGGGGGCGCGCAATTCCTTCACACCCCTCCCTCTTCCCCCCCCCGCGTTCTTTTCTTCGGACGCACCGCCGGGAAAACTGGAGCGTCCTGGCTGCCCCCTCTGTGGCGAGCGGCAGGCCCGTCTCTCGGCTCTTTGAAAGAAAGAGCTGGCCTCTGCCGGGGGGGCGGGGGCGGAGTGCAGAGAGATCATTTGGAGAGCTTGTTAAGCCTTGCCGGGTGGGGAAGACCTCGGGAAGGGAAAAAGAAAACATCTCAAGAGTGGCGAAGGATCCATTCCCGGAGTTGGCCTTCCCGATCAGGTCCCAAACACAATGGCAAGAAAAAGGGGTGGGGGTGGGGGTGGGAAGGACATCTGGAATAACACCCCTTTCCTTCTAAGTGGCCATTCCTCTTGTTTATCCCCCTTTAGATTCCCCCCCCCAGCCACTTTCTATTGCACAGAGGCTGGAAGGGGTGCATTCAGGGTTCTGCATAGCCCTCATCACAAAGATGTTGCCTTATAGAACTTCTTGGCTGGAACCCTGCTCACATGGGGGAGGTGTAGACCCCCTTGAACCAAAGAGAATTACACAAATGTCAGCTCACCCACCGTTCAAGTAGTTGATTCAGTCGGTCTGCTGTAGTTTGGGCTGACAAAATTAGGCCTTTTAGAATTTTAAAATGTGCCTCTGCATTAGAAGGCTGAGTGTGTATATAGGTCATGCATAATGAGGGTGTTTAAAAAAAACACAACACCAAACAAATACATAGTTATTTTAATCACCTAGAGATCTGTGGAATCCAAATTCATGCCATACATGATACAGATTCAAAAACAGATATATTTTTCAAAGGCAGGGGACATAATTTAATTCCATGTGTGAAGTATTTCTCACAGGTACATAAGAAGTAGTCAGTGAAGGTTATTAAGAGACATGCTGGGCAGATAAGCCTTATATAGTATGTGTATTTCAGAAACACCACAGTCTCACTCAGGGATATGAGGACAAAAATAAGAAGACAATGGAAGACCATTCTGTGTGACAGGACTAGTATTCTTCTTTTACTGCCACATTCCAGAGATTTAATGTTCTCTTTTGTTGAATGCCACCCAGCTCAGCCCAGAAGGGTTTAAGCAATATTTTCTCCCCATTTGCTATTTAAAAAGGGAAAACAAGCCTCTGTTTATCTATCATTTGCTTTTCAGAGATAACTCATTCACATTACCTATATACAAAGCTTTGCCGTTCATTGTGTTTTGTTTTGTTGCTTTCTTTTTTGTCTCCCCACCCCTGCTACCCCATCTCTATGCACATATGCACAACAAAAAATAACATGGCCAGCCTGCATTCTGGTACACATTTATGTGGAAGGATATGAGTAACAAGGAAGTCCACTTATAACTTGTTAGCTTTGAAGATGTCAGATGGCTGTTGGTCATTCCACTTCTATCAAAATTTCAAAGTAGTCACATTGGCTCAAGAAAAATGTCAAAACCTCAATTAAGACAATACCTTGTATTAAGGGAAGTAATCCGAAATTTAGGTGTAGCTCAACTTTGGCCATCTCATGAGAAGAGAAGACTCCCTGGAAAAGTCCCTGATGTTAGGAAAGTGTGAAGGCAAGAGGAGAAGGGGACGACAGAGGATGAGATGGTTGGACAATGTCATCGAAGCGACCAACATGAATTTGACCCAACTCTGGGAGGCAGTGTAAGACAGAAGGACCTGGCATGCTCTCCATGGGGTCATGAAGAGTCAGACATGACTTAACGACTAAACAACAAAAACAACAACAAGAATACTTGTGGAAAGAAACCATGTGTTTCAATGTCAATTCTCTTGTCACTGGTTTTTGGTATTGCCCTCTAACCCTTCTATTTCCAAAACAGTGAGAAAAGTAATATATAATAAATCATCAAGCAATTGCTACAGCTTCAATTGTATGTAGCCTACTTGTGTATGCATATTTCCTAATTTCTATTTAAAATATTTTAAGTATTTTAATACCAGCACTTTCTAAGACACATTTCTGTTCTCTTAGGATACAGTCTTGATCCCTCTGACCTGGAGCATATTTCTTTCTTTCTTTTTTAAGCACTCTGCATTTATAGAATTGCACTATTACCAATATTACTTGGCATGCATTTGACCTCTTCTCCTTAATACTTATTTTATTATTGTTTAATGCCTTCATATGTGATAGATACTATCTTTATCAGAGGTGTTCTTGGGCTAAAGTGCACACAGAGGGATAGTAGAATTACATTGTGAATGATGTGAAAATGTGGACTTTGCTGGTCAAAAAAATCAGTGCTCCAATCAGGAGCTAAAGAATTGTGAAACAAATGCCCCACATCAAAGGAGAGAAGGAGACCTTTTTTCCAGGGCTGTAGGGCAAACTGTTTTTGAAACTGCAGTGTTTTTAAGAACAGCATGTCGTAGATGGATCAGCAACTAAGAATTGGAGGCAGGGAATCAAATTCTATCACTGAGCTAATACAAGTTAATTGAAGGAACCTAACATCTGGGATCCTGCCCATGATATTTGATGAAAGTAATACCATCACTGTCCTGTAGTGTGCCTTCCAAGTGAGCATTGTCACTGTTCATTTATTTTTTTGCGATTTTGTTCTTGGCTCATGAACACTGGTTCTAATATTTGTAAACTCTCCAGTGTTTTCATGGAAGAGATGAGGATTTCTTTCCCCACTTTCCTTCACCTCCCCATCTAGTCATGCTTAATGGTTTGGTTAGCCCCCCCCCACTGCATCCGTCCTCTCAGTGCTATTGTCTCCCACACTTCGCATGTGATGTGATGAGCATTAAGGGATTTCTTTAGAGGTAAGCTTTCGTCCAGATGCCCCCTCCTCTCCCACCGTCTGACATGTGTGGGGTGGGCTCTTTAAAATTCTCCATTGTTTGGTGCTGAGGGAGCCAGAGGGAAACAACCCTTCAAGTAGAAGCTGAAAAGGATTGCCTTGAATGAGAACTCGCTCACCACACCAGCTTTCTCGGGTTGTTATGGAGAAGGGTTGCTGCCCAGAATAATACAGTTACACAGTTTATCACTCAATATTTTGTGTGTGTGTGTGTGTGTGTGTGTGTGTGTGTGTGTGTGTGTGTGTGTGTTCCAGAGGTCAGTGCAGCTTTTCATTGCACTACCCTTACAGAATAATCATACTATAATTATTAATTGCACATATAAGATGAAGTACATTTTTTACTTTAACACTGGTAATGTAGCCGTACAGTATTGTAGTCTGGGTTCCATGCATGAGTAAACAGCCAGGAAATCTTGTAAAGACAAAGTAGCCACTGTAGTTCAAAACATAGAATGTGGAACAGATATTGTATATCAAGAAAGGTAGACTGAGATGTATCCTTCTTCTACTCAGTACTTTCCTTGTTGCTAACGTTAATGTTTTGTATATGTTCACAATAAAAAGAAAAGAACTAGCGAAAAGAAGCTACCTACCCTGTGTTATGAGTGGGGTCCAGTCTTATTCATTCCAGGAATAGAAATCATTGAAATCAATGAAAATGAAGTTACAGCTGAAGTGGCTGTAGGAAACCTGGGGTTGAATCTCTGCTTTGCCATGGAAGTTAACCTGTGGGGGATGACAATGGTAAAACCACTCCTTAAATATTTTAATGACCTTGAAAAACCCTCTTAGGGTCACTATAAGTTGGTTATAACCTGACAGCATGTAACACACACAAAAATATGACCAAGTTTGCATCTTAAAGTTCCACTGAATTCAATGGGACTGCTCCAAGTATACCTGAAACTGGCTTCATTTTTATTTAAGAAGCAATTTTTTTCATTCATTCATTCATTGCATTTATCTGGTGTTGAGCCACTATTCTGGGTGGTTTACAACATGTAAAAATGCCCAACCTCAGAAGCAAAACAGCAACAACTCCTTTCCCCCCCCCCCACATGGTGACAGCAAAAAACCCAACAAAAATTAGACAAAAAAGCATAAAAGTCTATTGGGGCGGGGAGGATATTCCGAAACACCTCTCTGAAAAGCTCTGGTTTTTACCAGCTTTCACAAGACTGGAAGAGAATGGACTTTGTACACCTACCCTGACAGGACATTTTGGAAGGTCATTTCCTTGATCAAAACTGCAGCTGGAGTTACAGCAAAATTGAAGAAATGTTATGTTAAATGCAGGGAGCACATATTGTGGCCCTCAGTCGCGAAATCAAAATATACTTGTTAATTGAGGGGCTTTGGGGGCAGTACAAGAACAGATGCTGTGCTTCACTGCCTAGCTGAGGATGCGTGCAGGCCCCAGATCTCTGGAAGATCTGGGGCCTGCACTCTGGGTTTGGCGTAGCGTGATTGCTTGCTTGTTGGGTTTTGGTGGTTGCTTGTTCCTGTATTATTACTTATGGAGACAGTTGGATTATTTCAGTTCAGTTGGAGAAAAGTGATGTATACTTCAAAGGTTCTTTTCCTGCTGGTCCAGGAAGACTGCATGGTGATGCAGCTGGAATACTGAAGTCTATATATTCCTTTAAAATTAACCCTTGGATTGCTTTTAAGAATAAAATCCTCTTAAAAAGTAAATCTTTGAAAGCAGTGATGGGGAGCCAGTCTGGGATAACAGGCAAGATCTGCACACCAATGTCCTCCCCCCACAGGGCTGGATGATAGGAGCATGGTCAAAGCCTTGGGGTGTCAAGGACTTAAGTATTGTCCCTGAAATCCTTGGCTAAAGCATGGAGTACAGCCTCCAGCTGTCCCTTTATCCAGGTATTGACACCGTTCTCCTCCCACTCTTCTATGGGAAAGTCAAAGGAAAGAGAACTTGTTGGGAACTTTAAGTACTGGGTTAGATCCATGGTCAGTGGCTTTAAAACAGAACCTGAGGGCACATTCCGTAGTGGGAGAAGCAACATCAGGTTCAGTCAGCCTGTGTTCTGAGGATTAGCTGAATCTCCAGATCTTTTAAGGCCAGACTGGATTATGCTCATAGGCCACTGGTTCCTTCTTTAGCTTTAATGAGTGTCTGATTGGATGTTTGTTTGGTGATTCATATATTCTAGAATCTTACTGGTGTTTCCATAAGGTTTGTGTAACTTACTGTGGCTAACTGCAGACAATTGATGAGATGCTAAGTAATATCTCGATCACAAGCCTGGTCATATGCTCAATTATACAACTGTGATCCTCCTGAGCATCTTATCAATCAGCCACAATTACAGTGGTGCCTCGCTTAATGATGTTAATTGGTTCCCAAAAAACATTGCTATGGGAAAACATCGCTAAGCAAAACACCATTTCCCATAGGAATGCATTGAAAACCGGTTAATTCATTCCAATGGGAATGGATTACCGTCCTTAAGCGAAAATCGCCATAGGAAACATTGCTAAGTGAAACAATGTTTCCCCCATTGGAATGCATTGAAGCCTATTCAATGCATTCCAATGGTTTTGCGATGTCCGTTTTCGCTATTTTTAAAGTGTCTTAAAATGATCAAAAACTGTTTTAAAGCAAAGCAAAAGCAAAGCGTGCTGCTTATATACCGCCCCATAGCGCTTCAAGC